TTGTTAACATGAAAGTTTTCTATTTCCTAATCTGAACAGGGCTGTACAGGGACTATTAGCTATTACTGGCAGAAAAAGTGACCCTATAGGCAGCTCTCCAGATATGTTCAGGTTTGAAGAGCTACCAGCTCCATGCTGGTATGCCTAACCTCAGGCTCCTCCTTTTTTTAAGAGCTGGCTGGACTAAAGAAGTCATTTGCAATGCAAGATAATAACTTTATTCAATCACTAACTTCTGAAAAATGTTCTATATTCATTTGTACCAATGAATGACACATTGTTTCTATTAACTATATTTTCACAAAAAATATATGAATATATGAAACTATATGAAATATAGTTTATAGGCCTATATGAAATATAGTTTCATATAGGATTCCTATAAAGCCACTGAGATTCCAAATGGTGGAAGCTTTGCTGGAACAGAAATAAGTTATACAAAAGGGTCAGGATGATTCCATAGGCTCTAAGTCAGAACTGTATTATCCCTCTTTGGGTACCCTCCACACAAGGTACTGAGCAGCACAGCAAATCTAGTAACAAAACAGTTTAGAAAGGAGTCACAATATAAGAGAGATGAGACTAATTAGGCAAGAAGCCATTGATCATTGTGAGGTTTTTGCAAGAACAGAAGAAGGTGGCTGACATCCAAACCCTACATTTCCTGGAATATGAAGAAAAAGGCGTATATCTAAAATGATAAAGTTTGGATACAGCTTGAAAGAATGCCATGCTGTGAGTATATTGCAGTATGAAAATGAAACAAAAATTGTGAAATCAAAAAAATTCACTATATTTTTAATTTTGTTTTGGCCAATAAATCGTATTATCAAAGAATCTGTTATCTGTCCAGATAAGCAGCTGCTGAAATGCATAACACAGAGAAAGTTCTGCTAGAAAAATGTATATAAAAGAAACTTTTAAAAAATACCAAATACTTATTAAAAATATCCTACTGTTATTTGTATATAACCCTCCAAGAAATTGCCAAAATCCATTACAAAGACTGAGGTAAGAAAAATCAAAAGAGGAACTCCTACAAGATAAAAGTGTTAGTTTTACAAAGTTTGATTTACTAACCCCTATTTTCCACAAATTTACCACAATTCCAAAATTTTAATCAGAATTGATCAAGCTAATTAAAATAAAAGCAAATATAAAGGACGCTAACCTTTTCTTGCTTTCTTCAGCCAGAAATCGGTATCTATTCCATATCATCAAATGGAGCAAAGACTTCATAAATCTACTGACCAGATACCTTTTTACAAGTATAAGTATATAGAAAAAGACAGCAGAGCTACGGGTGGCTTGGAGTAAGGAATATGAACTTAAAACTTGAAAGCTAGAGAAAAAGGGGAGATAAACTTTATTCTGTGGAGTTTTTTCTACTGGAATTCCAGAATCTACTAGATTCCAGAATCTGGATTCTGCTGAAATGTGCCTTAATCTTTGTCTGTGGGTACTTTTAAGGAAGAAAAGTAACCTTAATTGAAATTGGAAAGGTTCCAGCTTTCCAAGCTTGTGCAGATTTATTTCCTTCTCCAAGACTTCTTCACCACCTTAGAGGAGTCTATCCAATCTGTGGTTACACTGAAACACAGACCGCTCATGTCTCTTTCACTGTAGAGTCACTCCCTGTGAATCATGCTTGTTTAGCAGATCTTACAGCTCTCCTTGATAAACGTGTTCCTAGACATTCCTTTCCCACTGAGACTGACATTACCATCCCATTTATCCTTTCCACTACTATAAGGTTGGAGCCATCACTGAATAGTTTCAATTTAATGTGCAAAGTAGGATCCAAGGCCTTAATTAAAACAAACTGAACTCCTCAGTCTTATTTATGTTTTGAACTACTTTGGTCCTTCAGTTTAGACAAACTTTCTTCTGAATCAGGAAGGAATATATGAAGGAATGGACATGACTGAATCATAGATTAAGAATTCTGCAGATGTTGTCTGTCTGCTGCAATATAGCACTTATGTGTATTGGTCTTTGAGAACCAGCTTAGAAAAAGGAACTTCAGTCACGTCTTATATATGTTTTACCCAACAGCTCAACAAAATGATGAGAGTCAAATTTTAGAGTAGGTTATTAACCCTGAGCAGAGAAAGAGGACAAATAGAAGTAGCAAACTATACATCTAAAAAAGAGCAGGAACTGACTACTGGAAATGGCATATTGTCAGATAGTTAAACGGGCTATATTGTGATATAGTTGTATGTCATAGTTAAAGACAGAGATTCAGCAGAACTAAGTACTTTATTAGTACGTCACAGTTCGGTATGAGAAGATAGAGCTTCTTATCGATGCTGAGGGTTTTTTATTACTTTTTTCTTTTTTTAGTGCTTAGGAAGTGAAAGGTGAGTATCTGATGATACTGGAGATTGTTCATGTGACTAGAAATGTGGCCACATGGGCACAGAATAAGTCTGGTGAGAGGCATACTTTTCAAAGCAGACTTCCCAAAGCGTTTCAATGTATCCAGGAATGTGAGCTAAGAGGTGAGCTAGTTTTCTGCATTAATTTACTGTTAGTTTCTCTTTCTAAGGATGTGACCTTAAAGGCAGTTTTAAGTCCAGGGTAGTTTTGCCATTTACTCCAGCCAACTTTGGCTCAGGCTGTCAGTCTCAGGTTCATCCTGCCTAATGTCAAATGTCCTACTAAGACTCCTAAGCTAAGGATTACAGTCATCCCAGTCTTCCTTTTATAGTCAACGGATACCTGCATATATACACTCAGATTGTAGGTGGAATGCTTTGGTCTCTGGAATTATTTCTCTCTGTTGGCTCCAGGAAGTTAGGCTGAGCAGGCTCTTCATTAGGTATCACAGGTGCCTAAAGCTAAATAGGTTGAAATTGAGTCTCATTATATAGATGAAACAACTATTCCTTTGATGATATTATATGAGCCAAAACATGAATTTAAAATTAGTAATATGTATTTATCTAAAGCAAAGTTTAAAAGTTTGTATTTACCATTTTACTGGTGGGTAAATTACCACTAATTTCAAGACGAATTCCCAGTGCTTAGTGTGACTAATACATAGTTAAGTAGAAGTAATCTTTTCTATAATTTCCTGTACATCAAGAAAAACATATACAATTACTAAGAGTATTTGTTGATTTAGAGCAGATAAAATATCTGAGATCAAATCAGGCCCTTCTTTGAAAAACTGAGACAAACTTCTTGAGACTATACCAAGTATCACCTTAACCTCACCTTAAGCAGAAAAGAAACCACAGTGCTTATGGCTCTGTTCTCATCTTCCATCTACTAAGTCTGTATTAAATGCACAAAAAAAACTTTTTCCACAGAGATAAGGCACTTTATTTTCAGGTTAATTTTCAGGCTATGCTAACTCTCAGGCCGGTTTCAGAATTTAAAAGAAATGATGTATGTTGGGCACTTCCCCCACAGTATGACTTAATCCTTGACCAGTGGGAGGTCATTTTTTAAGGTCCAGAGCAATCTATTTCTCCAGATAGAAAGAAAGATGACAAGCACAGGCACTGCAGAGTGACCTGAGCCTATTTTAGCAACCTTCAATAAAGATGACTTTTTCTCTTTGAAAAATTATGCCCATATCAAAACCCTCCTGCCTATCTGCCTGGCCCACAGTACAAAACCTAGTTAGATTTAAACGAGATAAATCTACAAAGGCCAGGAAATTGCAGACTGTGAAAATGTATATTTTCATTAGTTGCATGTGACCAAAGCATGATTTATTTGACTTGCACTATAAAATCAAACATTTTCATCTGTGTATGAGACTCATTCTTAAGCTAGTGACTGCAGTTCTTGAGTGAGCCTAAGTGACCAACACTGTAGTAAGCATTATACTAGTGTCTTTCTATGTAGAAGGTCTCTCAGGTTCCCTCTGTTGGAGAAAAAAAATCAAATCCCTCCCCCGCCTTAGACTGAGAAGCATTCAGACCTGCAAACAAGGAAAATATGAAGCAAAAGAGGCAGATCAATAGAATATTCTGTTAGTAGTAACCAGAGTGGCTCTGGGCAGAAACCGCTGCATTTTGTGGAAGACTGAGTAATGTTGATTCCTATAAATTAAGAGAAAAGGCCTTTCCATCTTTTCACCAAAGAGCACGTAAATACGTTCTTTGTTATGGAGACTATTCTTACTAATCCTAGAGGGGGAAAATAGCTTATAATCAGAACCCAGTTGCCTCTGCAGGATTTTATGCATTTGGTATTCGCTGCACCAGTATGTCTTAATATAAGAATGCAAGAATTGTGAAATTACCTTCTAGACTAAAGAGGGAAAAAAAGAAAGAAATCAGAGGTATAGCTAATTCTTAAGGTTGAGACTTACAAGGTGGCTTTGAATATTTGTGTTTTTCTTTTTTTCAAAACCCTATCAGTTAAGGAAAGCTTAGTACTAAAGGAATTATGAAGAGAGAATGTACATAATTCAGTTTGTGAAGGAAATTCTTGGTTTCAAAGGTTCTAAATATTTTGAAAAAATTAAATACACTAATATAAACATATGCATTATAGCTGTTTAATCCTTAGAGAGTTCTTTGTAGCTCATGACTTTGGAAAGAATTTAGAAACAGCTCGTATTAGAATGTATTGTTTCATTCCCCTTAGTACCATTGTTTTCTGGTCTTACAATTACTAGGATTTATTTTCTTAGCTTGAAAATAGGATTTTTGTCTCATTTGAGATCCAGCTACTTAATTCCTAGTTGAAGTCAACAGTCCTCCCTGTCACATAACACCAGTCTCTTGATGTCACAGATGATTGAACTGTGATGTCACATGAAGGACTTTGACTTCAGAAGAACAGACAATTTATTCTTGCATATACACTTTGTATACTAGAATTTAACCTCTCTGAAATGTACAAAGTAAGAACAGACGGACATTTTCAAGACACTAACCATGCACAAGTTGAGAAAGTTCGACCTTCTTGGTTAGTGCTTCTCACTAGAATCGTAATGAACTTTCTGCTAGAATAAGAAGGTAGTAGACTATGCTTACCAATACACTTTCTGGCTTTTCCTTCCATGATACCATTTCTGAAAGAAGCTTTTCTGATACACAGGCTGTGCAACAAGAACAAAAACAAAAAAAAAAGTGATCATCTTTACAAATAGCCAATGCTATTAGAAAAGGGAAACTTTGAACCCGGACCGTTTTCAAACCTCTGTTTTAAAATAGGCATAGTATTATACCATTACCTGATCCCCCCACTTGTCCAAATGTATTGCTTTGTTTTTTCTTTTTCCTGATGAAACGTGGTAAGTCTTTGAAATAACATTAAGATTTCAACAAGAATCAAAGTGATTCTTAATGGAACACGTTCTCCTCTCTATTGAAGAAAAAAACCCCAAAACAAAAAAAAACCCCAAACCTTTGTTTTCAAGTGAGGTTCTGTAAAAACCTGCATATAAAAACCAATTGAAAGAAGTAACTGTTTACTGTAATGCCAGTCGGGTTAAAAAATAAGAGCATGTATTGATTACAAAAAGAATCTATAGTGGAAAAGGAAACCTCTTTTGACTATTTGTCAGGAAACAAAGTCCTACATTATTATCTTAGTGCTGAGCTGACAGGACGATAAATTGGCCTTTATTAATTGCTATAGGATTGTTATTTTGTATCACTAAATCAAAAATCCTCATCTTTTCCTTCATATGGGAGAAGCATATCATTATCATTGCAATCTCTACACTTAAATCTCGACCAACTAATTTCAAATTAATGGATTAATTTATAAGAATTAATCAGCTGAATGTTTACACCTGAAAAAAATCTTTAGTGAAACTACAGAAGGTATTCTTTTTATGTGATTTTTTTTTTTGTTTCATGTGATTTCAGGTATGTGATTGATTGTAGCCATCATAAGTCTTCCTAATTTAGGAACTACACTTCAACATTTTTTAATCTTTTTGTCTGCATGCTTTCAAGTATTCCTCATGGGAACAGCTTACAGACTACAGTATTGATAGTGTTCTTCATCTTTTTTATGGAAACTTAAACAGAAGCTAATACACACTGAAATCAAGCATATCACTGAGATATAGAAAAGAGATAATTTCCAGGCTTCAGTATGTATTTGTTTTATTTTTCATATTTTCCTTGATTTTCCCTGTTTCCACGTTTTGTTTTAGATTTCTTTGGCACATGCCTAAGATAGGTTATTAGAGCGGGAGGTTTGGTCAACAGATCTTCAAGTATAAAGGGGCCTATTTACTGTATGATTCCTTTGCAAGCCCTCCGTGTTATTACTAAACTGAAACAAACGCATATTAGGAGGAATGCCTTCTGAGGTCTTGACGCGAGCTCAGTGATGAAGAACCCGAGTGTTTTCAGCATTTTAATTACAAAATACAAGCAGCTCGTTCTGCTCATCAGAGCTAGCAGAAGGGCACGTAAAGCTCGAGGCATTATGTCACCGCTTTCCCCCGAAGACGCAGCGCTGCTCTGCGCTCATCTGCCGCTGGCGAGGCTGCGGAGGGCGCCGGGCGCAGCGCGG